CTCTCTCCTCTCTCTCTCTCTCTCTCTCTCTCTCTCTCTCTCTCTCTCTCTCTCTCATAGACCCCAGTCTCTCTCTCTCCCTTTCTCTCTTTCTCCCCCTCTCTCTCTCGGGGCTCGTGGACTCAGAATGATATCAGTAATCATATCAAGCCTTCAAGTCACACAGGGGGCAAACTCAGCATATTTGAGGACCTGGGGTTAGGCAATTAATTTCCGTTTAACTTTAACAGTAGGATAACTCCACATTATCCGTAAAAGTAATGCACATTTACCTAAGGGTATAACGATTGATCGTGCGCTCCCGCTTTCAGATGTCTGGCTTGAATTGAAACTAACTGTCTTCTGCCTGGACGTGTATTGTTTATATTAAATCTACTGAGTCCAGGTTTTGATGTTCGAAATGCTGATATCAGGTACGTACGTGGATTGGGTGTGTCTTGGTCACGTGATTTCTATTCTGACAGAATCTCTTGCTAGGTATTCATATGTATGTGAATTAGGGGAAAACACGTCAAAAATTAAAAATATATATATTTATTTCAGCCTAAAAATTGCTTTATATATGTACGGATGGAAGAAAGAGGAGACAGAATCTGCAAGTTATTCAAAATTTACCTTGAAAGTTGACCCCTTCAAATTTATATGGAAATCCCTTTTTTGTGGTTTAACCACAGGATTGTGCCCCCAAACGCGTATGTCAAATTCCCATTTTCAACATTTTTTGGGTGACAATCACATCATTTGAATCCTTCATTCGTTTGGTTGTAACAAGTTTGATTCGCTAAAAACCTTTGGGTGAAGAGGTATAGACCCCAGGCTCTCTCTCTCTCTCTCTCTCTCTCATTCGCAGTGATCATTTGTAGTCCCCCAGAAGAGAGCACAGTATCGTCATCGTCATAAATTCACTGATTCTCAATAGATAAACCCATTTAACATGTTAGAAAATATTTTATTAAAAGTAAGCGAGCGGAGGAATTATTTGTCCAAGTGTAACATTACTTACTTCAGTCTAGCAATTTAATCATCGGCATCATCAATTCCTTTACGCCTACTAGTGTGCAGGGCGCCTACAGTACGGAAATATGCCACTGTTTTCATGTACTTGGGAAAGAAGTCGACTGAAGAAGTTACACCAAAATTAAGCTTAAGAGAGGTGGGGGCTGCGAAAATTTGTCTCATTTAACGCCCACTTACGGTTCTCAATCTGTCCAAGAACATAATGTTTTTCTCTTTTCATGAAAATGTTCTTAATCGGTTCTAGGACATTCTGAAGGACTTCCCAAAACAGCTCTCGGACTGTTACACTTATTACAGAAAAACATTAGAACTGTAAAAAAATTCACCAAATGTTCTAGAATTGATTGAGAACCGTAAGTGAACGCTAAATGAGACAAATTTTCGCAGGGGGGGGGGGGGTGACCCACTGGGCCACATTCTCACTGTATCCACGATCGTCTTTGTTTTCACCATGTAATCATTCATATTGACAAATACTACAATAATATGTATATCATTTCCTAAACTTATTACAGCCCCAATTCTCTTCCTTGTCGTCTGCTGGGTTCAAGAAGTCAGCGCAGGAATGTGTGCAACCGGTTTACTGAAATGTCCAGCCAGTCCAAACCCAGGTCAGTTGCAATTGGGGAAGACGTCACTTTAGAAATATGACGTCAATAATGACGTCAGAAAAGTAAGGGATGACATCAGAAAAGCTGGAAATAACATTGGTCCATACTACTTAAGTTTAACATAAATTCATGGCATTTAAATTAAATAATGTAAGCACTGACCCCAGTTTCACAAAAATAAATAAATAAATAAATAACTTCAGTCAGTTCCCTGGCTTAGTTGACTAGGATTTCAATGAGATTGTTGTAACACTGCTACTGATGGGGTAAGATGTGCACATGTGGCCATGTAACCTTGGTAATTAGGTCATTGGTCAGAGAACCTCATTTAGAATTTTTTTGTGAAATCGGGGCCTGGCCGTAACCACTAGTCTCTTATTTATTTTTGGTCGGAAATTTGTGCCCAGCTAAGTGTTTAAGTTCATGTTTGTAGTCACTTAAAATAAGATACAGGGGATAGATGGCGCCACTATATTTGAGCTCTCTGCCCTCTGTATTGTCTCTCCTAACACATTGTCTTCACAGATTGTGCTGTGCTGGGGCCGGGTTACCACCAAGATTGCAACACGTGTTTGAAATATTTCTACTGTGCCAGCAGCAGCTCGCAGCCCGTCCCCATCGTCTGTGAGAAGCCTAAGATCTGGAACCCGGTAAGGTTTTGCCTTCAGTGCGTTCTCAGTGAATCTGTCCAACGTAGTCTGCGGGGACTCTCGCTGAATGCAATCGGAATAACAGATTAACACGTCTCCTCCGCTGGTTTCCAACGTTCTCGTGTTATAGCCAATGTATCTGTATTGTACTCATCTACCAGGAGGAGGCCTTTTTCACATCTATTTAGCAGATTGCATTCAGCAAAAGTCCCCGTGGAGTTAGTGGACATAAGTTAGTACGAAAGATTCATTCTGAACACACCCTTAGGCCTTTTTTTTTTTACATCGAGAGGTACACTTAAGCGATACTTTCTGTATCGGTACACTTTGAGATACCGTTTGTTTCGGTACACTTTGGAACGACCTACCATGTACAGTAATTACGTTATGTCAGGAGATTTTACTCGCTTTCACAGGTGCGCTTCCTACTAATTAGCCGGGGT